AGGCGGACCCAGGATTTGAGCACGGCAGGGGCACCACTGTATGCTAATCACTAGCGATAAAATTTGGCGTGCAACTCTTTAAAAACTTAATGATTATAATGACTTATCATCCAAGTATAAACAAAAAGTTCTAAAGAAAGAAAGCATCGAACAAAGAGAGATCTTTGCAAAGTGGGTGTTATGGGAAGGAAGGAAAATGTTTGATTAAGCATGTTTCACACTTTAAAATTTTTAGTTTATTTTTAATAAAAAAAGGAGTCACGATCAAAAGGACATTCAAACTTTGAAGAAATCAAGATTAAGAGTATGTTAATAGTAAAAAAACTAAAGAAGAGTCTTAAACTCGTAGTTTTTATTGCTAAGTCGGAGTCAAAGTAATTGATGAAGAAAGTTGTGGTATAAGGATTTGTATTTTTCTATTTGTAGAGTAATAAGTTTCAATTTGAAGCCTTTAATTTTAAGACATGAATTTAAAAAATAATAATAATTAACTATTATGTATTAGAAGTTAGAACTAAACTTTAATTGAATTCAAAAGAAAAAGAATAAATTAAAACAATTTGTTATTAAGTACATAAAGCTACGTTGTATTCATTCAATGAGCTAAAAACACTTAAGGAGGGACTCGAACCCGGATCATTCAGCAAACAAGGGACTTTAAGCCGCCCAACAAAACCACTTCTTTCGTCCACCTTTTTGTTTCAAGGGGCACCACTAAAATATTTAAGGGATCCTATATATATGTACATATATATATATATATATATATATATAATATACAAGGTTTTTGCCGAGATTAACGGGGTCCCATGACCCCTCTACATGCAACGTAGGTCCGCCTCTGGTTTCACTCCATGAATACAGTCGAATACAACAACTAATTAGCTAGACTTCCCTAATTCACGCCTATTTTTGCTATTGTATTCATGAATACAATAGCTTAAATACATCAAATACATCTTATAACCACGTAAAAGGTATCTATAATCCGTAATATAGCAAATGATATCTATAGATGACTAATTACTACTTAAAGATAGTGCTTTATGAAAATTTCCCATAAATTTTCACAAGTGAGTGGTCTGAGAAGAGTAGCGTGTATGAAGATCTTACCCTCCTAGCAGCAGTAGCCAATGGATTTGGAAGCGCGCCCGGACATCCCCGACTGTGATCCAGGTTCCATCTTTCTTGTATTGTATCCGCTCATATCTATTTACTGTTGCCTTGACGACAATTTTGATTGGATTAATTGCTTTTTCTATTTTTTCTATTAGTGTTTTAAGCTTAAAATTTCCTCTATTCATTTTACTTCTGTGTTTGCATAGGGGTAGTTTTGTAGACGTGGTAGATCCATTGTTCTAGTGCCTACTCGTGTTTCTCTTCTCGTAGTCATTCCTTTGAGTTGTTTTTAGCTCTTGGGTTCGTAGCTTGTTGTCCTTCATTCCTAATACCTTTTGCTTATAGTGGCGGTAGTGAACGATGAGAGAGCAAGGTCATGTCCTCTGGCGGGGGCTAGGGGTGGGGTCCAAGGGTAGGTAATAACTAGGGATTATGGTTCATTTTACACTCCTTCTTACTTGAGTTTTGATTAAAGATGTGTACAAAATAATCCCAAAGCTTACATGGTGTACTTGTTTGCAGGGTTTGGTAAAAAAGGTAACAATCATGCAAAACCAACTCAAAAAAGAGTGAAACATGCACAAGTACCAAGAACAAGTCCAGGCACAGTGCAACAGGTCCACTGCGGCCGCACTCCATTTAGTGCGGTCCGCAGTGAGGAGGTTCAGAGAGGTGATATTTCGGAGACTCAAGTATTGCGGCCACAAAGTATTTAATGCGGACTGCAATGGACTCACCGCGGCCGCACTCGATATTGTGCAGTCCGCAAAGAAGGAGTTCAGAGAATTGAAGTTTTGGAGATTAATGCCAATGCGGTCCGCGGTACTTTTAGTGCGGACCGCAACAGAAGCCACCGCTGCCGCGGTGCATTTTGTGCGGCCCGCGGTGGCCAAGTTTAGAGAGCAGAGTTTAAAGCCAAGAAGCCTCACTGCGGTCACACTCGATTTTGTGCGGACCGCACTACCCCCCGTAGGGGTATTTTTGTTCAGAAAATTCGACCTAGTATAAATAGTTTTTTCCCCCCTTTTTAGGTCATCAGTTGTATTTTGACTTTGAGTTGCGCTCGTGAACAGGGTTTCTTAACCATTTTGAGTAATTTTAGAGTAGTTTTATCATTGAATCTTCAAGTATTAGCTTGTAATTAAATATTATGAGTTTTTCTTCATCTATTTCTCAGTTTTCTTCTATTATCATGAGTAGCTAGACCCATTAGCTAGGGTTGTGGCTCAACCCTAGTGTGAGTATTTGACGGGTCTTGTGTTTTAAGGCTTGAATGTCTCTGGGTGTTTGATATTTGGACTAATTTATGGTTTTAATGTTGAATTAGTAGTTGCAAACACTAATTTGTGCCTATTTGACTTGGGTTCTTCTTGAGAAAGAGAACTTGAGTCTAGGAAAATTAGTCCAACAAGGAATTGGGACGTATTCAAGAGATTGATAGCCCCAATTAAATGGTTAAACCTAGAGATAGTAATACCCGACTTGAACCTAAATTGCTTGCACAAATTATCATACCTAATTGGTCTTGAGAAAGTCAATTAGGGCAAAATCACTCAAACTACCGAGAGGTATAGAGTGAGAAGTTTAGTGCATTGGTTATATTGTAATCCCCAACATGACAACCTCGCCTTAGACTCGAGAACCCGTCAAACATCCACCTAGGAGAAAGTCACTTCTCTAGTGCCTCCGTAATTATTTAGACAACCTTTAAGTATTTCACTCTTAGCTTAATTTAGCATCTTATTAGCATTAAATTAGAAGTAATCAAAAGACCAACTATGATTAGAAGTGCAATTAAGAGCAATTACGCATCCCTAATTTAGATAGGAACCCAATTCCCATTTCTAGCTTCCTGTGGAAATCGATCCCAACCATCTCGGGTAAAAGCTGTTTCGACCACTCTCGCTACTTTGTAGTGGTGCAGGGTTGACACCGATCAGTAAGAAGGGGGGGTAAGAAAGCCTCTAGATTGAGAACTAGGTCTTGGAACATTGGGGCGTTGACGGGAAGTCTATAGAGTTAGCTAAGATTCTTCAGAAAAGGAAGATCAACATAGCGTGTATTCAGGAGACTAGATGGAAGGGTACCAGGGCACGAGATGTAGACAGGTTTAAACTATGGTACTCATGGAGCGCATGGGGCAAGAATGGGGTATGTATTCTAGTAAACATGGACCTCAGGGAGCTCGTGGTTGAGGTTAGGAGGGTAAATGATAGGTTGATGAGTATTAAGTTGGTAGTTGGTGGGTTTACTGTAAACGTGATTAGTGCATACGCTCCTTAGGTAGGTTTGAACCAGGAGGTTGATAAGCAATTTTGGGATGATTTGGACGAGATGGTGCTTAGTATCCCGCACACAGAGAAGTTGTTCATTGGCAAAGATTTCAATGGTCATATTGGGGCTAGTTCTAGGTGTTATGATGATGTGCATGGCGGGTATGATTTTGGGGATAAGAATGAGAGAGGTAATTTACTGTTGGATTTTGCTAGAGCTTTTGATTTGGTTATAGCTAACTTGAGTTTCCCGAAGAGAGAAGAGCACCTGGTCACTTTTCGAAATTCAATAGGTAAGACTCCGATTGATTACCTTATTTGCAGGAAATGCGATAATGGTCTGTGCACTGACTGCAAGGTCATCCGGAGTGAGCACCTAACGACTTTGCATAGGCTCATAGTTATGGACCTGGAGATCAAGAGGAGCAAGAGGAAGAGGGCGTGGTGTATGCAACCTGAGATCAAGTGGGGTAACTTGACCAAGGACAAAGCTCAGGAGTTAGGGGAGAAGTTGTTGGCTATGAGGGTCTGGATGAGTGTAGGGGGCGCGTCTAGTATGTGGTCCATGACTGCAGATTGCATTAGGGTAGCTGCTAGAGAGGTCTTAGGGGTCACAAAGGGTTCTCCTAGGTCATAAAGGGAACTGGTGGTGGAATGGAGAGGTTTAAGGTAAAGTGGAAGCTAAGAAAACTGCTTATTCGAAGCTAGTAGAGAGTACAAACGAGGAGGAAAAAAGGACTTATCAGGAGTGTTACATAAAGGCAAAGAAAGAGGCAAAGTTAGCAATTACGACGACTAAGAACGCAACATTTGCTCATTTATACGAGGAGCTCGAGGGCAAAGGTGGGGACAAGAGGTTGTACCGGTTGGCCAAGGCGAGGGAAAGGAAGCCCGTGACTTAGACCAAGTCAAGTGCATCAAGGATGAGGATGGTAAAATGTTGATGGACGAGGCACTCATTAGGAGAAGATGGCAGACACACTTACATAAACTGTTGAATGAGGAGGGGATATATGCATTGTGCTGGGTGAGTTGGAGCACTTCGAGAGTCGGCGGGATTTTGGGTACTGTAGACGGATTACGGTATAGGAGGTGGAAGGATCGATGCATAAGGTGTGCAGGGGCAGAGCAGTGGGGTCAGACGAAATCCCGGTGGAATTCTGGAAGAGCGCGGGGGTGGGCAGGTTTGGAGTGGCTCACTAGGCTGTTTAATGTTATTTTAAGGCAAAAAAGATGCCTGAAGAGTGGAGGTGGAGTACAATGGTTACGCTTTACAAGAACAAGGGTGATATCCAAAATTGCAACAATTATAGAGGTATCAAGTTATTGAGTCACACTATGAAGGTTTGGGAGAGAATGGTGGAGGCCAGGGTGAGGAGGTGCGTGTTTATTTTCGAGAATCAGTTTGGATTTATGCCGGGGTGTTCGACTACAAAAATGATTCATCTGGTAAGGAGATTAGTGGAGCAGTACAGGGAAAGGAATAAGGATTTACATATGGTGTTTATTGACATTGAGAAGGCATACGATAAAGTTCTGAGGGAGATCCTATAGAGGTATTTGGAGTTTAACAACTTTCTAGTAGAGTACATTAGAGTGATTAAGGATATGTATGATGATGATAAGACTCGGGTGAGGACTGTGGGTGGTGACTCAGACCATTTTCCTGTGGTGATAGGGTTGCACCAGGGATCGGCTCTTAGCCCATTTTTGTTTGCCTTGGCGATGGATGTACTGTCGCGTCACATCCAAGGGGAGGTGCCTTGGTGCATGCTATTTACTGATGACATAGTGTTGATAGACGAGACGCGTATCGGAGTTAACGCGAGGTTGGAGCTTTGGAGACAGACCTTGGAGTCTAAAGGTTTCAAATTGAGTAGAACCAAGACGGAATACTTGGAGTGCAAATTCAGTGAGACCCATGATGCATACGTAGAAGTTAAGCTTGATGCTCAAGTTATCTCCAAGAGAGTGAGTTTTAAGTATCTCGGGTCTATTATCCAGGGTAACAAGGAGATTGATGAAGATGTCACACATCGCATCGGAGCAGGGTGGATGAAGTGGAGGCTCGCTTCCGGTGTTCTATGTGATAAGAATGTGCCGTTAAGACTTAAAGGGTAAGTTTTATCGAGTGGTGGTTCGACCTGTTATGCTGTATGTGGCTGAGTGTTGGCTAGTCAAGAACTCCCACGTGCAGAAGATAAGAGTAGCAGAGATGAGGATATTGAGATGGATGTGTGGGTGTACCAGGCGAGATAGAATTAGGAATGAAGCTATCCGGGATAGAGTGGGAGTAGCCTCCGTGGAGGACAAGATGCGGGAGTCGCGACTGAGATGGTTCGGACATGTTAGGAGAAGAAGTATTAATGCCCCTGTCATGAGGTGTGAGAGGTTGGCCATGAAGAGTTTGAGGAGAGGTCGAGGTAGGCCTAAGAAGTACTAGGGAGAAGTGATTAGGCATGACATGGCGATGCTTCAGCTCACTGAGGACATGACACTTGATAGGAGGGTGTGGAGTTCGAGGATTAAGGTAGAAGGTTAGTAGGTAGTTTATAGTGTTCACCGATAGACTTAGTAGCATGCATTTCCCTTCATATTCTTTGATTTTATTACAGTATGTGATTTTTTCGCCTCAGGTATTGTATTCCGTGTTGCTATTATTGGATATTGTTTTCCTTCCTTGGTTCCCTCTTCTTCTTCTTGCCCTTACTGAGCCGAGGGTCTAATGGAAATAATCTCTCTACCTGCATTAAGTAGGGTAAGATCTGCGTACAGACTACTCTCCCTAGACCCCACATATTAAGATCAAACTGGGTTTGTTGTTGTACTTATAAATCATTCGGCCCATTAATCAGAACGCTCTTTTTTCCACTGGGCTTTAGCCCATTTCTCTAATGCACCGTTTCGTATTTTCTAGTTGTTTCAACCAATACGTATATATTTCTTGATTTTNACTCAAACGGCACATACTTTCCGACGCCGTTTCATCTCCAACAACAACCTCCTCCTCAGCCCTACATCGGCGCTGCTCCTCCCCCCGTACAACTTCCTGGTCCTTCCGTCTATCCTGCTCCTTCTCCTATTCCGGGCGTTTACACTTTGCCTCAGTTTCAACAAGTAAGTGCTCCAAATATCAGCAAATGTTAATTGCAAAAAAAGGAAGAAATATGAAAATTATGAACTTTTATTTCTGAATTTCGGTCTTTGTACGTAACGACGGGCGAAATTGCAATTGGTTGTTAATTCTTACATTTTGATTTCGTTGGAGTCACGCTAATGTCCATAGAAAGTTTAATTGATTAATAACTTGTGGAGTAAGTAATTATGTAAGTCATTTGTTTTTCATTTTTGCTCCCTTTTCTAGTTATTTTTGACAAATGTTTGAGAATTTGGCGGGTATTTTGTAAAATCTTTCCTGGGAAGTTGTTGAGAGTTTTTTTTTATAGAGTTTAATAAGATATACACTACACTATCAGGTCACCTAAAGTATATCTACAAGTAAGCCTCCATAAAATAGGGCAGGTTAGCTGCTGCCACAATAGGTAAATGTGACTTGACAGTATAAATTTTTGTTACACTGACAGTATATAGAGCTTAAAATCTTTTTTATAAGGGTAATGGAGCTTTTGATTCTTTTTGTTAGCTCCTGGGCAGGTTTTTGTTATATTGTAATGGAGCTAACATTGATCCTTCTTGTAACTTTTGCATCTTCTTGATGCTTGCAATGAAGCAACTTATCTCATCAAAAAAAAAAAAAAATCTTTTTTATAAGGGTGGTGCCTGGGCCAGCTTGCTTGCTTGCTGAGAATATCTGCGCCTATGTTTGTGTGTATGTGCATGGTAGAATATCTTGACGCCAATTAGAAGCTTGTTAGTTTCGTTTTAGGAGGAGAACAGAAGAAAATCTCAATAGAAGTATTTGCATCAGGCCTTTGTACATATGTTACTTTGTATGTTAAGCTAGTGGCTTGTATTGAAAAAAGAAGGTATGTTTTGTCATGTTTGTAATGTACATAATACTTGCGGACAGGCTCAGCAGTTATTCCAAAGAGATGCTCAGACAATCACACCTGAGGCACTTGAAAATGTGAAAGCTGCACTTGCAAGCAGCGAAATTGAGCACAAAGCTGAGGCCAAGAAGAAAGCTGTACCTCGTAAGGCAGCAGGACTAAGTTGGGAAGATCCTACTCTAGCAGAGTGGCCAGAGAGTAAGCATAATTTCCTATTTCTTTATTTTTTCCTTGANTGGATTCTATCTTGAACTGAATTTCCACTAAAAAGTAAGTAAAAGTAATCAGTTATATTTCTTATTATAATCAAAAGTTAACAGTTATATTTGATTTTCAAAATGGATTCAGCTTTTCCTTCGAAACGTCTCCTATTAGAGTATGTTACCATATATACAAGGTTCAACTATAAAATATGATATTGTGTATAAGGTAATGTAGCTTGTCAGAGTAGGCGAACAATGCGTATATAAGGAACTAATTAAGTATCAAGGAAGTAATTTTATCTCCTCTTTTCTCTCTGCTTATTGTTTTTAGGTCGAGTACTATTCTTGAATTTTCTTGATGCACTCTCGTTTTAACATAGGAACTTTGTTGCAGAGTATGAGGAGACTCACAGAGCGAATAGGTGAATAACAGATTGGAAGGGACAAGAAATGGTGGTGAATACTGACATGATTAAGTTGAAATCCCAGGGTTAATTGTAGTTAACATGGTTATGACAGATAATTGAAAAGTTTAGGATGAATTAGCCTATCTTGACTGCATAACCAATTACTAGATGCCTATAATGAGTGTTTATAAAAGGTTTTAACTTTCTGAATAAACCAGTGCGGATGAAAGAAGCATGAATAGAAAGTAAATATACTATATGAATTCGTCTTACTTAAGTTATGGGGCGTTTTGTGTCTTGTCTATCTAAATGCACTTCTTTTTCTGGAGGTGTTTAGAGAAGAGAATGTGCAGGAGAAAACCTGCAAGGTAATCTATCTGATCTTACATGTTTGAATATTATGCTTTACTGGTCCACTTTCATGGATTGTGGTCTTGCAAGTGATATCATTTTTTAACCCAATTATCTTTTGCTGTTGGTTTTCTGGTCGCTTCCTTCCATGATGGCTGTTTGCACTTGTTTTCCTGTGGTTATTGTGTCTTTTGCTGTTACGATTGGTGCAAATCCTAGTACAGTGGAATAACTAAGTTTCCTTTTCGTATGGTGTCACAGATGATTATCGTCTATTCTGTGGTGATCTTGGGAATGAGGTGAATGATGATGTCCTATCAAAAGCCTTTTCAAGGTTTCCAACCTTTAACATGGCTAAGGTAAGCTCTATTAGATCATTCACTTTCTTTCAATAATCTTACATTTTTATGTATACATGAGCACTGGTATTTCTGGTCATGAAGGGAGAGATTTTGGTCCCCTAGAAGTTTAATTATTTTCTTCTTTTTTAATATCATATATCTGCTTCCTGAATCTTAAAAAAGCTAGAAATGTTTATAAATGCATCGACTATTGATAGTTTGCATATGTCTATAGTGTATGCGTGCATCGAGTTTTGAGATAGACTTCTCCTTACTTTTGACTGCTTTCAAATTGGAGTTCAATAATTTTCAATGATTGAAAATTGAAGAGAATATATTAGTAGTGTCACTGTAGGACCAATATTCCTCAAGTTGTATGTTTTTTTTGTGTGTGTTCTTATCTGGTTATCCGTTTTTTGGTGGGGTACACCGAATACATGGATGATGACTTAGTTCTGTATGTGCTTACGTGTATTTGCATAAAATGAAGAACATAAGGAGCATCTAAATGAGAAGACTCTAGAGTGGTGGCATCTAATTGGGAAGATTGTAATGGTGGTGAACTGGTGATACCTTACCTCGAAGTCTAATTGTAATTTGTTTATTGCCCAAAACTGCAGTAGTTAATGCGTTATAAAAAAGTGTAGCTTAGTTATATTTCAAGATCCATCATGCTGATGTTATTATAATTCCTTTCTTTCTGCCTTGATCTGAAAAGATTAAAAAAATGAAGTATTTTATATTCGCCTTGGACAAGGTGGGTTGCTCTGATGGTAAGCACCCTCCACTTCCAACCAAGAGGTTGTGAGTTCGAGTCACCCCAAGAGCAAGGTGGGGAGTTCTTGAAGGGAAGGATACCGAGGGTCTATTGGAAACAAACTCTCTATCCTAGGACAGGGGTAAGGTCTGCATACACACTAACCTCCCCAGACCCCACTTGTGGGATTATACTGGGTTAATTTATTTATTTTATATTCGCCTTGCTCTCTTCGAATTTTGTTGTATAATTGTAAGTTGTAGCTTGTAAGGTTCAGTAACAAAGGGATTATGCATGTTGACAGGTTGTGAGAGACAAGCGGACTGGTAAAACCAAGGGATATGGATTTGTGAGTTTTTCCAACCCATTAGACCTTGCGGCAGCACTTAAAGAAATGAACGGTAAGCTATCTGTTAATCAAGATATGGATGTGTAGTTTCTTATTGTGCTTAAGGTACACTGGCATAATCAATATATTAAATGACACAACTTGATAAAATTGGGTCTGTCACTGCTAGGTGATCTGCTTTTACCTTCTTGAAGACCACTGCTTATAAATGGTATGGATGGTAGCTTTCAGTTGGATCTAACATTTTCCTAGACCATTTGGTTGATGCCATGTGTGGGTTTCTTTGGTCCCCCTTTTTTGATGTCTTCATGTCAAATGATAGTGTTGATAGAGTGTCCTCTACAGGCCCCTGGTTTTTTATTTGAATTTATAATTGCCCTCCCCTAGTCCCCTCTCCTCTCTAAATAAATAAAAAAAAGGAATGGTCAAGGAAACAAGGAACAGAACTTTACTGGAAACAAGATTTAGTACTGCTTCTGAAGTCGGTTTAGGCAAAGAAAAAAAGGGTTAAGAAAAGACAACATCAACCAAGCCTGTATGAGAGAATTTCAGAAGTCTGGTTTCTTGTGGAGTTCGCAAAATGGGGATACATGAATGTGTGATGTGGCAGTTGTTTTAGTTATTGCATTGGTAATGATAATATTACACCCAGATGCCTAATAAGGTGGTAATTCATGTTTGATTTCAGGGAAGTATGTTGGAAACCGGCCGATCAAACTTCGCAAGAGTAAGTGGCAAGAGAGGATTGACTACGAAGCTCTGGAAAGTTCGAAGGTGAGGGTTTTTGCGTGGCGATTGGCCTACTTATAATATACATCTTGATAGTTGGCACTATCTAACTTCTACTTATCAAAATGGCATTAACTGACTACTTTTTTGTGGATGTTGGATCTCGTGGCAGAACCGATCACATAAGAAACCAAAGCTAACAAAGAAGAGTATATTGCACAAGTGAGTGCCAACCATGATAATGGGTCAAGCGTCAAGATACTTGAGACATATTTTAAATGTGTGTTAATCAATTTCTTCACCATTGTTGCTGTCCGAGAAAGCAGGGACAGATGACAGTCCTAGGACACATAAATACTATTTGAACCTCTGCAATTTGTTATTCACAATGCTGTATCCATCAGTTGCTGGTTAATGTATTTCTTCCTCCTTTTAAGAGCTCTAGGAGAGTTCTGAATGATTGAATCCTTTTGGCAACCATAGATTTGTGGATGGGGAAACTGTTGTAGTTTGGAAACTTTGGTTCGTTCACAAGATAAATTGCAGTTTCATACTTTCATTAATGTATCAGTTGAATTGAAGGATGATGAATGTATGGTCCGATGTTTGTGCAATTAATCAACTGAAAACAACTCTTGCTAGATATAATGCCTAATATAGATGTCAATGGATATTTAAAAATTATTTTTAGGTTTATTTTAATAAAATCGTAAGTTTTTATATAAGTTTATAATTGCACCGTTAATTAGGGTAGACCGAAAAAATATCGAACCATACCGAATAAATTTACATGTGAGAAACATATTTATATATTAAGTTTAAAAAAGCATTAAATTTCTCTTGGGCCTTGGAATTATGAAAAAAAGTTACAAGCCAACAAGTAATTAAACTCAAAATCCTAATTTCTAAATTTATTATGTCACTCCTACTTAAACTAAATTATTTTCAGCATATTCACTAGCAAGACAAAGTATTCTAGCGATTATTAGTAGCAAATTACAATGTATTGAATATGTTTCCTTTCGTATGATTTAGATTTTTTTGTTTTGAATATTTAATCTTCTTTAGACTTTATTCTTGAGTCCCAACTTGGTTAATATTTTTCCACTCGTGTGATTTATATTTTTTTAATCTTTGTTTAGTTTTTTTTTACGTTGATGTAAAATAGTTAAGAATCTATGCTCTCTGGTCATCTTTCATGTTTTCTTAATTCATCACCCTTTAAACAATAAAAATGCCTAGAGAGTTTTGTTAAGTCTTATAAAAGTATGTATGTTATTGCATTCTACTTGTACTAGTGACTTTTACATGAAATTTACAATATTACTGAAAATTGAGCAAACCGTACGGATAACGAAGAGAAACTGACATTTGAAAAGTCTAATTTTGGTTATACATAATAGAATAACCGAAAAATTAGTATGGTACAAATTTTGTAAAATAACCGGCCGAACCGAACCGTTGACACCCTGCAGACGATGACTAAGTTTTAATCCCAATTTCCTTTGCCTCCGTTTTGTTTTGTTTAAACTCCCGTAGATTTTGAAAGATGGTGGCTTTTTGATACAATTTTCATTTATGCGATTGTAGGTCTACCTCATCATGTTTCTGTTAAGGATGTAGTAGATATGTCCTAGATCCAATATCATATTTGATAATTTGAACATATTTTTGTGAACGTTATTTGATATAAAAATATATGGCATCTGATATTCTTTTATCATAGTTATTATTAATTGTTTGATTAACTTGATAAGGTCCTTGATTAACTTTTGAGACTTGTCATCATGATGGAGATCATGATAATGAGAGTAAAGTTTCTTATAATTTAATCTAAATTTGTTCTTGATCGTAGGATTATTAATTTGGACATTAGTAATCCGGTTAGATCAATATTTATGTGATTGTCTTTATGGAATAAAGATTAGTTGATCTCATTAATTAAATCACATAGATAGATGATGCATATAGAGATATGATCATTGAACCGACTCATTGAGTAATTCCTAATGGTTAGAATTATCATAAACTGTCAATAGGATATTCTCTTGAAAAATGTAATGTAAGAGTTTCCTTTGACCCGAGATCATCATAGTAATTGACAAGTTATTTACTGTGCTTTGATACTAGATACCTATGGCTCTAGGGAGATAGTTGAAAGGATATTGGGTACGATTAAATACTTATAGAATTAGTGATTGATCAAGATGGAATCTGTCAACTCTTGGTAATGAGTTTAAGCTCCATGTTGTCATGAATTATAAACGACCAAACTAAGACTTTGGCCAGGACAATTGAATGAAAGAAGAAAATAGTTTCTTAGGTCATTCAATGGTCGATTATATTTGACATGAACACATAGTTGGTCGCCTATTAGGATTTGACAGTTAAACCATATTCTAAGGTGACTCAGAGCTATAAGGACAGAAGGAATTACTACACTATTCTTTTACTGGTTCATGAGAGTAAATTATGTACTTCATTCTATCCGGTCGTTAACGAGTATTGCTAGACGCCACCCTTGATTAGTATATTGATATGATTAATTTGCTATCGGTTTAGTATTGAACCTATGGGGTCGCACACTAACGAGTGTTCTGATCTTTGCTAAAGGATTAATTACTTTATTATTTGATAATTAAATTAAAGAATTTAATTAGTCAAATATATTTAGTTATTAGTCCAAATAAAATATTATTATATTCTTTGCTAGCACAGAGGATATAATTAATATTGTGAACAAATTAAAGTTTTCTATCTGGAATAGAAAATTAAATTATATTTCTTGGTTTATATATATATGTGTGTGTGGTATATATAATTAGTACTTACTTTATATAAGATATGTTATATAAAATGTTAATAAAAAAGTTGATGGAAACTTATTAGTGAAATCCAATGTGAAATTGGATTCACGTATTAAGGTCCATAAAGGACTAAGATAAAAAAATTCCAATGGAAAACTTTACGTAAGTCTATTTTTGGAACTAGACTTGTACCCAAGGTAATTAACTACCTTGACCAATAGAAAAAGGTTTAGGTAATAATATAAAAGGGGCCATGGAAAAGTGGCGTAGGTGGTCTATTGAAAATACACTTTCACATTAAAAAGTTCTTTGAAGAAACTAAAAACTATAAGAGATATATTCTTGACAAGAAAATCAATTTCCTTTGTTGCATTTTTCATTCAATTTGTTCACCGGTTTCGTTGATCAAAGAGTTGATAGCAAGAATCAATCTCAGTGTGGATACTTATAGAGTCTTCGCACTATCGAAGAATTTTTGAAACTAGACTCTCTTCACCAAGTACGTCTTAGATATGATCTTTGACATGTAAGATCTAATCTTTGACATGTAATTAGATTTTAAACACGAAAAGATTTTGTCATTATCTTCCGATGCGTGTTACGAAAACCTATACGCAATCCTCGGTTTCGACACAATCAACCATCATAGTCTCACCTGACCGCTGCTTTGGTTTGCATTGAACATAGCTAGATGAACCTCCTTAGACGTCCTCTCAACTGTCTTCATGAGGTGCTACTTGCACTTGATGACTAATTTGATTATTTTAATTTGATTATTTTAATTTTCTATGGTTACTTCCTGATGATAGGCTATAATTACGTGTTTTAGTTGATTATTACACTCTAATTTACTGCACTTTAGTTGAGTTTGCGCTTTAATCGCTAGTGTTTTGCACTAATTATGTGTTTTATGCCTTGTAGGTGTGATTCCGAGATATATAGATGTTATGGAATGAATTTAAATGATTTGAAGCTTTGAAGTCTGAGTAAAAGCTCAAGGAATTAAGCTGGGATCGTGTTCGGGGGTCAAATTTGATAGTTGAGAACAAACAAAGACTCGATGAGGCATATTGCGCACTGTCTAGTACAATACACATAACTCTTTACTCAGAACTCCATTTTGGCTCCATAATATATGGTTGGAAATATAACTCAAAGGTCTACAACTTTCATGTTTTGCGTTTTTTCAAATTCCAAACGGAACAGAATGAAAAACTGCGGTTTCACCGCGACCGCGGCAGAACCGCGGCAGAGTGCAAACGCAGAAAATTGAAGAATCAGAGGCCATGTTTGGCCGCGGTTTGACCGCGACCGCGGTAGAACCGCGGCAGGAGGCGGAAATTTCAGGGATTAAAGTGCAAAACACGAGATTTTTAGCCCAAAACCCTATTTTAAACACTAGACTCCGCCCAAGAGAGGCATGTATTGTTTTGGAGAGTATTTTTGGAAGAAGAACAAGTGTGAGAGATCACCCAAAACATCTTGGTTTCTTCTTCTCTTTATTTTTCTTGCAAGTTTTATGATGAATATTGTTTTAGTTTATTTACCCAATGTTTATGAGTAGCTAAATCTTTTGTTTAAGGTTTTGATGGAACCTATTTGGGGATGAACTTCTTGTTTATGTGAATACAAATTGCTAGTCTCAATCTTTATTTGTTCAACTTTGTGTATGTTGTAGTTAATTGACAGGATCCTCAATTAACTGTGCCTATTTAGTGTGCATAACTTGGGAGAGAGTGCAAATTTAGGTTATTGTTGAACAACACCACTCCCAAAGTATAAGAGGGATCTATAACTGCGGGTTTAAAGGCGTGATTAGGGATAACGAAGTCTTGGGTGCAATCTTAAGTGAACAGTGTTAATTAAAGCTAGCTAGTGTATCTTGGGAGAGTGCAATAGTATATTACTGTGATTATTCGGGAGAGATTTATGGTAAGAAAAATGTTCATGATTGATAGAGGTGTGTTAGGAAATTTGTATGAAGCATAAACAGAAGGGATTCCATCAATAGGGGAAGTCATTACCTTAGCGTCTTCTCATTATTGTTTACAACCTTAGCATCCTTAGTTTACAGCTGTTTATTTACGTGCAATTTTAGTTATTGAAGACACCATCAACTGTGATTCAAACGTTTGGGGAAATTGGTTCTCAAGAGTTTAGTAGTTCTAAAGATAGTGATTGATAGGTTAATTCTCTGTGGATTCGACTCTGGGCAGAATACTCAGGTTATATTTGCAACGTCCGCATTGTCCTTTTTATAAGGCATAGTTGGGCGTGATCAAATTTTGGCGCCGTTGCCGGGGAGTTAACGGAATTATCAATTACCATTGATAGAAATACAAAAATTCTTAGTGTGGTCAGTTTTCTCTATACCCAACTTGTGAATATTTGTGTAATTAATTTTTCTTACCTTAGTCTATTTTTATTGTTTGGGTCTTGTTTATTTTTTTAGTTTTGAAAAATGGCATCATATAATAAAAATTGGTGGGATGGTAGTTGTTCATACTGTGATGACCCTTGTCTTTATTGTGGAGGACCACACTCGTGGCAAAATTGTTTAAATTTTCCCGGGGGTGGATTGTACGCACAATCTCAAACCCATGAGTGGAGTATTCGTGATAAGTGTGGTTTTCAAAATGGTCATTGGGATGATTGTGTTGATTGGTCATTCCCTTCCCCACAATAGAATCAGCTATGATGATTCTATTGTTTTTGATGAAAATGATAGGGTTAACGAATTGGAAGAAGTTGAGCATGGCCGAAAGGGAGAGTTCAAGCTC